GACCCCTGTGAACGCTGTCACAGAGAATTTCTGCCCTTGCAGATTTTCAAGACCTGACAGAAAAAAAGCCCTGAGCATCCTGAGGGAATTCATTGCTGATGCTCTGCTGAGCAGGATGGTGGATCAGAGACCTTCTGAGGCCCCTTCCACCAGGAACTACTTGGTGATTTTAAGTTCAAGAGGACTCCAGAGCTAAAGATCAAACAGCTGGCAAAGGCCAGGCAGCTCTGCTGGATGTGCAGCAGCGACTGATTCACACCTTGGTCTGGAGATTCCTGCAACAACGTGAGCAGGCTTTGATATTCCCCATAAATATTCCCTGCACTGCACAGCTGTGGTTGCACTGCTGATGTGGAACCCCCTGCAGTGCAAACCCTCCCTGGCAGGCTGCTGGGCAGGGCATTACCTGTCAGCAGGGCAGGGATGTGATGTGTGGCATTCTCCCTCCTCAGCAGCAGCACCAGGCAGTGCCTGCGGGGCTCACCGGGGACTTCTCCTCCTGCAGCACCAGCAGGTGAGCCTGAGCTCTTGCCAGGGCAAAAGACAGCAATCTGAAATCATGAAGGGCAGATTAGACTGCTAAATCCACATGTAATTACTACAGGGCTCAAGCAAATAGATAAATTACAATGGCATAACAAGATCCAGCTCACCACTGAGCCATAGGAACTCCAATATCTGAGTGCTCTGCATCATCTTTTCCTGAGACAGAGAAACTTAATTTAAACTCAGGGAAGAGGCTTAACACAAAATCATCCTGCCCTGCAGCTGGGCTGGGCTAAAACCAGAGCAGTTGTAATTCAGCTGATAGGTGGTACCATCCACCATAAGTGGATGCACCATAAGTCACTCTAAGATTATCTGAAGTCTCAAATGAAGGGATGATATTCACATTGGAGCTGTGGTTGCTGCTGTTAACTCCTTAATGGTCACTTAGCAACATGCTCCAAATATCTGGCTATTTGGGCTGTAGTATTCCATAAATAGGTTTCATTCATTCTACAAAATATTATGGGCAGAGACATTGTTATTCCTTAGGCTTGATCACAGAACAAGCAGAAAAGAGGGAATTTGTAGAGTTTGATTTGCAAAATTATGTATTTCCTGACTGACATAGCCTCAGCATGATGATTTGAAGTGTGGGGTCCATTCCTTTGTGAGAGAAGGTGTCATATAATTCCTGTGGGATTTATAATATAACAAGGGCAGCACTGGACTTCTTGCATATGTTAAGTTTGACTGCAACCTTGCATTTGTGATTACTGCTGTTTCCTTAGGCTGACTTGTCAAAATGCCAAGTGCACTTTCCTTCAAACCTATCACCATGTAAGGCAGAGCTCCAAAGCAAAAAAAAAGTTAGTTTTGAAAGCTCTTTTTGAGCACTGAAGTAGGGGACTTCATGCTGTAAGGCCCAGAGGGACTATGAAGCACATCACCAAATATCAGTCTGATAGTGAAGACTCTTCTCCTGAACCACCTTTGCACATCAGTATTTGGTTCATGGGGCTACTGCCAGCTCCTGATTATTCTGACACCAGTGGCAAAATTCACATTTGTTTTAGTAGGAGCAGGATGATGAATTTACACTCCTGTCCTCCACGAGAGGCTAAGGCTTTGTGGGGTTCTCCTGCTAGGGAAAAAGCCAGCACTGAAAGCAGCCAGAGCTCACTCACAGGAGCACAGAGAGCTGGGAAAGAGGGAATGGGTGCCCTGCAGCACTCACTGGAGGAGTGCTGGCACCATCAGCTGCAGGGCAAGGGGTGAGGCAGGGCACGGAGGGCACAGTACCTGCCCTGCTGCCATGCCCAGCACGAGGCCCTGCTGTGCTGAGAGCTGCAGCTGCCGCAGTCCTTGCAGCACAAAGCCCCGGCGGGCACAGGCGGAAAGCACGGCCCCAAAGGCACACGGAGGCACCACAGGTGACACCAGCAGAATGATGTCCCCTAGATCAAAGAAAGGGCAAGAAAAACAGCGTATTATTGTCACAGGAGCTGTGGTATCAGTGCAAGGCAGCTCTCAGAGCAGCTGCCTCCACCTTGAAGCAAACAGCTGCATCCTGAGCAGTGTTTTATGGTTTGTTTGCTGCATCCAGCTCATCATGACTGCAATCCAAGGCCAGCCCAGAGTGGGAAAGCTTATGGCATCATCAGTAATATCTTTGTGAATCATCATGAGACGAGCCAGGCTGTCTCCCCAGGTCTGGGAGCTGCTCACAGGCAGTGTGTTGGTGTTGGTGCTGGCTGGGCTGTGGGAGCTGTCCCCAGGCAGCCCCCAGCACTCAGGGCAGGACTGAGCCTTGCAGGCCTGGCCACGCTCTGAGTGACCAAACAGGGCAACAAGAACTACTTGTTCTTGCTCCATTTGTCCACTCCAAAGAGCATGAAGCAGCTCTGGCCACTCCTCTGTGCTCTCATTGCTCTCTGCTGTTACTGGTGGTCTCAGCAATCCTGCCCAGCACCCCCTTCTCCTTCCCGTTGTCCCTCCTTTGTTCCTGCCTTTAATCTTCATCCCAGACACAAGGTCCTGAAGCTCTGGACCACCTGTGCTCTCACCTTTGGTTTGGTACCCTCTGGGGCCTCCCAGGTTTCTTGGACACCATGGCAATGGTACCATCCTGCCCTGTCCCACCTGATCCTCTCCCAGCAGCTCTGGCTGCCTGAGCTCTCCCTGAATCCCTCATCCCAGTACACAGACACAACTGGAATTCACCTTGGGTTAGAACTTTGGGTTTTTAGACTCCTGTTCTTCAAGTTGAATCCCAGGCTCCCTGCCAATCTTGAGCAAGCTCAGGAGAAGGAGCCTCCAAGGCCTCCTGAGCAGCCCCCCACATCTTAAAAAGTGTGAGACAAGCTCAAAACTTTTCCCTGAAGCCTCTGACCTGCTTGAACTCCCTGTTTTTACCATGACCTCCATTACTACACTTTCTCAGCTCTAACACAGCTTTTTATCCCTCACAATGTATATTCAGATCTCCAGAAGCTGCCAAGAGTGAGCTCTGAGACCATTTTTACATGGGTTTCCTCTATGCTGCCTCAGTAATTTCTCATAGCTTTAACCAATAGATTTATTGAGATTGGAGGATTTTTCATTGTGTCCCAGTTGATTCTGAGGGTAGGACAGTGAATATTTATTTTTATTCTAAATTTTGTGATATGGATATCTGTCCTGTCAAGGCTCAGCCTGGTTGTTCAAAGCAACAGCACCAAAACCTTGTATTTATCACTAAAGATGGGACAGGCAGGATGGTTCTTTGCCTAAAATCTCTGTTTGGCTTTATGGCTTTAACACTGGATTTTAACCATATTCATGATATGGGAGCTGTCAAAACCTAAGATTGCTGGTGGGAAGATTTTGGTTCCACTCCAGTTGATAACACTTTAAAAACCATTTTTTTGCACACACATATCCCAAATCAACAAGAATATCTGCTTGGGTCACCAAAACTCTGATTACTGAGAAGGGGCAGGTCTGCCTAGCTGCAATACCTCTGCTCTGCACGGGTAAATATTCCTGCTCCAAGAGGAGCTGCTGGAGACCACAGTGAAGGAATCAGTGAATGTTTCTTTTCCTGAAAACCCCAAGGGTGTCTGCTCCCAGAGCAGAGTTTCAGCTCCTCTTGCCAGAGCAGAGTTATCTGAGGAGCAGAGCTTGACAGTGACTTCTGAGGCTCCATGCAGATGGAACGTGGTGTGGTGGAACTCAGCAGCCCACAGCAAATGTGAATCATTAAGGGCCATAAAAGGAAGGGGAGGCAGCAAATGTGACTCATTCCATCAGTAGCCACCAGCTGCCATCAATCCCAATCCCAAATAACAGAGCCAAGGGCTGCCTGCCAAACTACCTGAGTTAACACGAGCCAAAAGATGAAAAACTGGCTCAAAATTGGTTTTTTCCTTTCTCCCTTCTCTATTTTCCTTCTCTTCTACTCCTTTTTCATCTTTTTGCCTTATGCTTCCATCCTTTTCTCATGGATTCTTTTCTTTGACAATGTAATTCCCCAAGCCTTCTTTCCCTGTCACTCCAGTCCTGCTTTCCCTCTGCCATCTCCTCCCTGAGAGCTGCTGAACTTCTGCTCCCCTCTGCTCTCCCTTCATTCCTGTGAATGAAATTCCCTCTTCAACTGGGCCAGCAGGAACCAGCCAGGAGCATTGTCCAAAAGCCCCCTGCCCCCCAGATGGGCTGTGCCAGGCCCTCTCCAGGGGATGTTGGCCTTTCCAGCAGGAGCCCAACACCTTTTAGCCTTGGCAGTGTCCCCTGGATATTGCTGGTTAGGTTTGCTGCTGCTTAGGTCCAGATTCAGGGGCTGAACACTGCTCCTACAAAGGGAAAATGGGGATGTGAGGTGATAACCCATTGATATTAATCCCATAAAATGCTCTCCTCTCTGACTGTGGTCAGTCCTGCCCTAAACAAAGCCTTAACCTTTTAATTGCCCTGATTATAATATTCACATGATCTCTGATCAGTGAACCAGCAGTTTAAGGACTCTGTCAGCTCTTCTTTCTTTGTGCAGAGATTTCCTGTGAAGTGTTTTTTGTTTCTTTTTCCCCCCTTCAGTGAAATCCAAGCAGCCCCCAGGACTCCAGCAGCTGCTCCCATGAGGAGGATGAGGTGGTGCCACTTCTGTGCTTCATTCCAGGCAACAGTGTCCCACTAGAAATTCATTCCTGCCTCCACAACTGGCCAGGTCACAGCCCTGAGCAATGCAGAGGCAGAACTGCCTTAGCTGGGCTGGAGTAAAGTGATGTTATCAGTGAAGGAGAACTGTAAACCCTCAAATTTCATTTCCTAGCACTGACCTTTGGTAGTTGAGACAAGCATGGCTGGAGGTCGAGGCAGCATCAAGCCCTGGAGGTCAACTTTTTCTTTATCTGCTCCTGCCCCAGCTGGGGAAGGTCTCTGAGAGCTGCAGAAAAAATGATAAATATTAAATGAAAAATATTAAAAGGTTCTGATTCAAACCTACTTTCTGTGACAAATCCAAGGCCACAGAAGCTTCTCTGGTAAAACTGCTTTACTGGAAAAGCCATTTCAATCCCTTGTCCGTGACATGAGCTGCATCAAGGTCTCTCTGACTGAACATCTTTTCATATTACTCCCCCTGAGGCTCCCTGTGTTCAATTAAAAGTAGCTAATGCAAAGTAGTCAGCTTGGCAAAGAAATCTGGGAATCAAGAAATATGTCAGGCTGCACTAGCAGAGCTTTTCCCACCCACAGACACATCCTAGTTGCTATTCACTTTGGGCTCTTTAGGCTGAGTTTAACCAGTTTGAAGGGTTCGTGTTAGGCAACAAGCATGATCCAGTCTGGCAGGGATGTTCCTGCCAGAGAAACTTCCACAACATTCCTGCACATCCAAAAGGACCCAATCAGGGCAGGGTGAACAGAAGGTGTGCTTGAAAGCCAGGGACTGTCTGGGAACAGTTTGGGCTGGGACTGTGAGCTCAGGCTGCTCAGGCAAACCTGCCTCATCCCCTGCCACCAGCACGGAGCTGGCTGGAACACATCCTGCTTGCTCACTCCCAGGAGCCTGGAGCATTTGCAAGTCTAATCTGAAAAGGGCAATCTGAGCTGCAGTTTTTGTATTCCTGTCTCCCAACAGACCAAATTACCAGCATTAGGAGAAAGACAAGTGCATTATTTAGGAGGTAACACTGCTCCGGACTGAGTTATACCAGAGGAGCAGAATTTATCATCTTTGTAAGAGGAAAATGCATCCCTGAGGAAAATAAACAAATAAAGAGAATGAAATTTGACCAAATTGATTTTTTTTTTGACATCTTAAACATAAAAATGGTGAGAGTCACTGGTTGTGGCTGAGAGCAGAGCTGAACTCTGACACATAATCCTGCACAGCAATCCACAGGTTAATTCCACATGGCTCAGCTTTGCCACTCACAGAAAGCACTGACAGCAGAGCAGAGCATCTCACCTCCAGCCTGCTGCCTCTGACTGTGCCACCCTGCCCCCAGAACAGGCAGCATCCCTAAAAACCTCTTCAGAACCTGCAGGTCTGAGCCTTCTGCAGCAGAGTTTCTCATGCAGTTCAAGGTTATAAGCCACCCTTCATTTTCACACACTTCTCCCATCATCCTCCAAAGAACCTGTTCCTACTGAATCCCTTTATCAGTTGATAAACAGGGCAAAGCCAGAGGTTTCCTAGGAGAGGGTCACTACTGGCACAGCCTTGCAGCTCTTCTCCAGCACCAGGTGTCCAAATCGTGCAGCAAGAGTGTGAATTAGGGGCCTGGATACCAGGGAGCAGGGAATGGGAAGCAACTGCAACTGTCCCACACCTGACACATGTAGGAGCTGGAGCTGTGCCAGGGCAGGTTTAGGTTGGATATCAGGAAAGGTTCATCCCCAGAGGGTGCTGGCACTGCCCAGGCTCCCCAGGGAATGGGCACAGCCCCGAGGCTGCCAGAGCTCCAGGAGAGCTTGGACAATGATCTCAGGGATGCACAGGGTGGGATTGTTGGGGGGTCTGTGCAGGGCCAGGAGCTGGGCTGGATGATCCCTGAGGGTCCCTTCCCACCCAGGATATTCCATGGTTCTGTGATCTGCTGCAGAAGAGAGAAGGATTTCTGCAGACTGCACAACTGGCTTGGAAACGCACAAGTGGAGGGATTGCTCCCCCTGCACCCCCGTGCTGCAGGACCCAGGACACAGATCTCTGAGTGCCTGCCTGCCTCAGGACCCAGATCTCTGAGTGCCTGCCTGCCTCAGGACCCTTGGACAGGGATCTCTGAGTGCCTGCCTGCCTCAGGACCCAGGACAGAGATCTCTGAGTGCCTGCCTGCCTGCAGGGCTCACTGCCTGTGCAACAACACCTCCAAACCGTCCTGGGCCATCACCTGGCAGGCGGGGGCAGCATTCCAGCAGCTCTCCCTCCGAACCACAGGCACAGCTCCCGGTGCACCCGGCTGGCCAGGGGCAGGGACACGACAGGCTCCGCCCTGCCACAGCCTCGGGTGATGTCCTGCAGGATCCCGTGGGCTCTGGGGCCTCTCACGCCTAATGCCAGCACTGGGGGCACCTCGCCAGGCTCTGAAGTGTAGGAGGAAGGCAGCTTTTCTGTGGAAACAAATACTTGTGTGAGTAAAACATGGAATAACCCACCCCAAAGTCATTCACTCCACTTAAAGGCTCTTTTTGGATCTGTCAGAGGCAGACTTCAACAGAGGAACCACCTGGTTACCTGCCCTGGGATCCATCTCCTGGTTACCTGTCCAGTGTCACAGACACATTTTATGAAAAATCCTTTCCTTAGGATTTTTTCTCCTGAGAAGCTGAGAGGCCTCAGAAACAAAATGTAAACAATGATTATCTGCTGCTGTGGAATGCAACAGGTGCATCTGGGATTGGTCTCATGTGGTTGTTTCTGATTAATGACCAATCACAGTCAGCTGGCTTGGACTCTCTGAGACTCTCAAGCCTTTGTTATCATTCCACTTCTTTCCTTTCAAGCCTTCTGATGAAATCCTTCCTTCTATTATTTTAGTATAGTTTTAATATAATATATATAATAAAATAATAAATAAGCCTTCTGAAACATAGAGTCAGATTCTTGTCTCTTCCCTGATCCTGGGACCCCTGCAAACCACCACATCCCTGGGAATCCATCTCCTGGTTACCTGCCCTGGAAATCAATCCCTTGGTTATCTGCCCTGAGAATTTCCTGGTTACCTGCCCTGGGATCCATCTCCTGGTTACCTATTTTGGGAATTCATCTCCTGGTTACCTGCCCTGGGGGAGAGATGCTGGCAACACCTGCTTGTGTTTACCCAATAGCAAACCTGAGGTTATTCAAGGCAATCTCCTGAAGAGAGGAATTGTTTGCCTCATCTTTGCTGTGAGAAGCTATTACAGGTGATGCACTGCAAGTGTCCCTGCCTGTGGCAGGGGTTGGAACTTGGTGGTCTTTAGGGGTTTTTCAGCCCAAACTGTGACTCTAAGCCAGCACTTCAAGTTCCTCTTGTTCATCACCACAAGGAAGGCTGGGGGATTGAAGTGCAGGACAAGAACTGGGGCCTGAGGAAAGGGATGGTTTTGAAGGGCATCACAAAATGGAAATCTGGGAACTTCTTTTTTACATTATTTCCTTCTGGATTAAATACAGATTTTGTACAATGCTCTGAGGTCCAGGCAAATATTTGATTTGCCACCTTTAATTTTCTGCCAGGATTTGAACCCTGACTTCCCTTATTTCTTTCCACAGCTCTTCCCTATGACTCTGGCAAACCTTTGTCCAGCACAATTGGGGCCAAGGAAGTAACCCAGAAAAAGCAAGTTTGCCTTCTTTCCAATTCTTACTGCAGATGTCAGAAAATGCAGCAAGGTGTGTGATTTTCTTCCCTTAGTTTAAAAGCATATACAAATGTATCATTTCTTGCATGAGAATCAGAAGGCAGAAAACAAATCTCCAGAGCAGGTAGATAATGGAGCAACTGGCTGTAAATATTTAAAATAATAATTTTAGAGTTATCAAGCTAAGGCTAAAAATCTAATTTACAAACTTGCACAGCAATTCTCAGCTCAAATGAATTGTCTCTTCATATGAAATGTTCTTAAATAATGGTGCATGGTACAGAGCATTGAAGCAGATCTGCTGCCTGTCAGCTCCTAATGACTGCAGGTTTTATGGTTTTCTTATTCATCTCTGGAGCCCTCCTCTATTTCTCCAGCTCTCACCAGGAATGTGTTCTGTGCACAGCACCCAGACAGCTGCAACTGCAATCCCATTCCCAGGGCAGCCTGCTCCTGCTGCTTTCAAATGCAAAAAGGGAGAGAGGAGACTGGGCAATTTTCTCTGCTTAAGCTGGTCCTCATTCCCCTTCTCTCCCTCTCAGCCTGCCTGTGGCCTTTCCCAAGAGAAATGGATTGTCTGTGGCATATCTGAACCTTCCAGAAGAACTTTGTGCCTTAAAAGAAAGCACAAGCCACAAGCAATCTCTAAACTCTGCAGCTAAGGGCACACCTGTTGCTCTGGAATATCTGAATATTATTGTGCTGCAGCAGCAACCAATAATGTTCCATGATGCTTTAAGGCAAGCTTCATCATCTCTGTTTCTCAAATGGGAGAAAATAAAGATTTGAGTGGTACATGTATATTTGATACATTGGTGTGTGATGTTCAAGACTTTGTGATTTGAGTTCAGAGCCCCAGATTGTGTTTATTTACCTTCTCCTGCTGGTTTCCCACCTCAGATGGGATTCTATTAAATAATGTAGCATTTTGGTGATGGTTTATCAGCTAATGCAATTACAGGCCATATAAATCAGTACTCCTGAAGTCCCACAGGCAATGAGATGGGGGAATTGTGGAAAAGGAAGGCTGGATTTTCTGCAGCTAAAACCTTCAGGAGTATCAGTGGGGAACTAAATGATTTTATTTAACTCACATGAGCCTATCCCTGGAGCTCAGGGCACTGAAATGTTGGACAGCTCACTGCAAAGGAACAGCTAAACAGCTAAAGTTTGAGACCCAAAAATGTATGAAGAGTTAAAAATTCAGCTCATGGATATTCAGCAC